TCGTTGGATCTCCATAAAGCATTCAACAGTTTATCTTGGGACTATCTATTTCAGATGTTGGGTAGGTTTGGTTTGGCCCTCTTTTTTTTTTTTTTTTACTTTAATGCGGGCTCTCTATTCTAATCCTTCAGCTCAGGTCTCCATTTGTGGATACAAATCAGCCCCTCTATCTATCGAGCGAGGTACTAGACAGGGCTGCCCCTTTCCCTCTACTTTTCGCACTGGCAATGGAACCACTTGCTATTGCTATCCGTTCTGATTACTATTTCTGGTATCTATTGTGGCCAACGAGATCATAAATGTGCCTTATTTGCTGACTATGTCCTTATGTATATATCTACCCCTCAACATCTTTATCTAGTCTCCTCCACTTATTTCATCAATTTTCTATGGCATCGGGTCTTGCTCTACATCCTCTAAAACATTTGAACAATTGCTTTAAATACTTCCTTACCTTATTCGGAGGTTCAATATCTTTGGGACAACTTTGAATTTCATTGGGCCCCCCATTCTCTCCCTTATTTGGGGATTCATCTTATGAGCTCTATCTCGTCGCTATACAAGGCCAATTACCCCCCTCTCTTTAAACAACTTAAGACTGACTTGCATGATTGGGAGGATCTTCCTTTATCCTGGTTTGGTAGAATTAATTCTGTCAAGATGACCTTTCTACCAAGACTATTATAATATTTTCGGACTTTGCCGATCATGGTACCCAGAAGGGAACTTTTTACTTTTACAAGCAGCAGTCTCTAGATTTATATGGAGAGGCGAACGTCCTTGGGTTAATAAATTGACTTCATTTTCCCAAAAAAAGCATGGCAGTTTGGGACTTCCTAATCTTTTGACTTATTTTCAGCCGGCTCAGATAGCACAGCTCTCCTGTACTACCACTAGGGGTTATGTACCTCAGTGGGTTGGCATTGAGGCCCTATCTTGCCGTCCCTATGCTATTGGCTCCCTCATGTGGCATCCCAGTCGGTTGCGTCCTCCTATCCTTTGTCCTATGCTATCCTTTTCTTTAATGGTCTGGGATAGATGGCGGGCCCGCAAGCCTCTTTTTTCCCTACATACCCCTCTAGCTCCAATCTTTTGTAACACTGAGTTTACTGCTGGTCTAACACCATCTATGTTTCAATGGTGGATCAATAAGGTTTTTTGTGTATTGGGGAATATTTGGATGGCCTTCGTCCTCGTTCTCTCCAATATTTTTTCAGACAAAATGTCAGATGCCCTCCAGTGAATTATTTCGATATCATCAAATTATATCTTTTATCACCAGTAAACTCAAATTACTAGTAGAACCTTGTATACTCACCCCTCTAAAAATCTCCTGTGGGGCTACTGGGATGGTGAAAGGTCGTGTTTATCTAATATTTATGCTTCCCTTGTTGATCCACATATTAAGCTTTCTTATATGATTCAGTGGGAAAGGGATTTGAATAGCTCTCTAGATTTGGACACTTGGTGGACTACAGCTAATGCTGTAACTAAAATTTTGATTAATACTACACTTTTTGAATCTAACTATAAAACACTTCTTCAGTGATATTTAGTTCCTACACGTCTTGCTAAAATGTACCCGTCTGTGTCACACAGTTGTTTTCGACACTGTGGACAAGAGGGTACTATGCTCCACATATAGTGGAAATGTCCTGTGGTGAATAGATTCTGGATCCGAGTATTTAACTTCATTGATTCGGTAACGGGAATTAATTTACACAGATCAGCTGAAGTAGCCTTATTTCATCTATTACCCACTGATATTCCTAAAAAATCAGTTAAATTAATTCTTTATCTTTTGTTGTCGACACAAATTACTATAGCTAGCCATTGGAGACAGTCAACAATTCCGCTAGACTTGGTCAAACAGAAACTTAATTGGATTATGATTAATGATAAACTTACTTGTATCGTTAATAATATTACCTCTAAATTTGAGTACACATAGGAACCATGGATTAGGTTTATCTCTATTATTTAATGGACCTATGGCTTGCCCTCTTTCTTTCCTCTTTCTTTCTTTCTTTCTTTCTTCTCTCTTTTTTCTTCTTTTCCAATTTATTCTTTATTCTCTTCTTCGATTCTTTTTTTTTTTTTTCGGTTTTTTTATTTTGTTATTTGGCTATATGATACTGCCCACACCTACTGATTGATGGAATACTTGCTACCCTAATGGGGTTTATGCTTTATTGTCTACCACATCATTGGTTGATGTATTCTTATGTGCCTATATATTCCATGATTCTGATTGTTTTGCTACAACTCAAATAACAATAAAACTTCTCCAGTACAGATTTTGTGTGCAATGAATATAGACAGAGAGCTAGCACTTTGTCTGAGCCGATTTTCAAGAAGAACTTAATTAAAATAGTCAGGGACTACATGGCAACAAGCAACTGTTGAGACAAAAAATGTATGTTTCGTACAATATGGTGTATATAGTGCAGGAGTCTGCAATGTACAATAGAGTGTATATAGTGCAGAAGTACTGTATGTAATGCACAATATAGTGCAGCAATGTACAATATAGTATACAGTGGGATCGAAAGTTTGGGCACAACCTAAAAAATTTGTATTAATGTGCATAAAGAAGCCAAGCAAAGATGGAAAAATCTCCAAAAGGCATCAAATTACAGATTAGACATTCTTTTAATATGTCAACAAAAGTTAGATTTTATTTCCATCATTTACACTTTCCAGAAAACAAAAAAATGGCATCTGCAAAATTTGGGCACCCTGCAGAGTTAATATCTTGTACTGCCCCCTTTGCAAAGCTGAGACCTGCCAGTGTCATGGATTGTTCTCAATCATCGTCTGGGAAGACCAGGTGATGTCAATCTCAAAGGTTTTAAATGCCCAGACACTCATCTGACCTTGCCCCAACAATCAGCACCATGGGTTCTTCTAAGCAGTTGTCTAGAAAACTGAAACTGAAAATAGTTGACGCTCACAAAGCTGGAGAAGGCTATAAGAAGATAGCAAAGCGTTTTCAGATGTCAATATCCTCTGTTCGGAATGTAATTAAGAAATGGTAGTCATCAGGAACAGTGGAAGTTAAAGCAAGATCTGGAAGACTCAGAAAAATATCAGACAGAACAGTTCGCAGGATTGTGAGAAAAAAACAATTCCCCCACGTTTGAGTCTTCCCAGAAAGATCCAGACCCCATATTCTCAATCTAAAGAGATACTTGTACCCCCCCATGGAAGAGTCCTCAGTTCTACGTCCTCACCAGCAAAAATCATCGTTTGAACTTTTCCCCATAGACAGGCTGATGCATTTTGGAGTTCTGTACCGACTTAGTCCCAAAGGTACCAGATCCTCCATCTTTACAGTGCCCAGTGGCCATCTGCAGTCTTCAGCAAATTGTGGATGTCATGCATCCATCCTCAGTCTTCCTACAGCTCCCCCATCATCAGGCTTTTGCACAGTCCCCCCATCCTCAGTCACAGGCAGCCCATGTCCTCAGTCTGCACAGTCCTCCCTCTCTGGCTACAAAAAGCGTTTTCACACTTCCCCCCAATCCTCAGTTAACTTCACAGCCCCTTTTGCATCCTCATGTTTTCTGTCTTTACAGTCCTTAATTTGATGCCAGATCATCAGTCTTCACAATCCCCAAACTTTCGATCCTAAGTCTTCACATCCCTCAGTCACAGTTTCCCCCCCATCCTCAGTCTTCACAATCCCCCCCCTCTTCTTCAAATTCCCCACATCCTCAGTCTTCACAGACCCAAACAGTTCCCCCATCCTTCACTGTCCTCCCCCCCTCATCTTCCCAGACCCCCCATCCTTAGTCTTCCCCACCCCCCCCTCAATCTTTCCAGTCCCCCCAAATCCTCAGTCCTCACAGCTTCCCCATCCTCATCTTCACAGTCCCCACCCATCCTCCATCTCACAGTCCCCCATCCATCTTCAGTCATCCTCAGTCTTCACAGCTTCCCCATCATCAGGCTTCAGTCTCCCCCCCATTCTCAGTATCACAGCCCCCCCCATCCTCAGTCTTCACCATCCTCACACCCCTTTACAGTCCTTCCCCTTCCTTCACATCCCCAAATCCTCTCCAGCCTCATCTGCAGCACAGTTCCCTCAGTTATCCCGAAACCCCAGGATCCTAAATTTTCACAGACTTCCACAGGTCCCCTCATCCTCATTCTTCACACATCTGTCTTCACAGACAATGGCCTCCAGCAGATGATCATTCACAGCCACCCCCCATCCTCAGTATTGACAACCCCCCTCCCTTCCATCCTTTCCAGCTCATCTGCACAGTTCCCCTTTGTCCCTAAATTCACAGACTTCACCAGGCTCAGGTACAACAGACAATGGATCCAGCAGTGTGTGAACAGGATCTGTGAGAATGGAGTCACACAGAACCTCTGCGACAGGAGCCAGAGAGCAGGCAGTGACAGCCGTGGCTGCAGTGCCTCAGACTTGTCTCATCCATGGGTTCAGTGTGGACTCATACCCCCTCAGGGCCTTGTGTGCACTGCACACTGTGCACCCATGGATGATACGCCACTGCTCATAGGGCTTTTCAATTTGTCACTCTTCTGTGGCGCTCAGCTTCAGTAAGGATGCCATGGACCTGCCTACTGTCATAACTTTGTTTTTTCTGGCACGCAACACAACTAAAAAAAGTACTTGTGCCATAGTAAGATAGTCTTTGTTGCAATGGGTGAAATGGCTAAGACTATGACAAGGAAATTAACTCCAGGAAATATTGATGTAAAAAATAATCATGGCTTTTGAGCCAAATGGCAGCTGCAGTCTGCGGCACAAAAATGCATACTATTATAAACTGACAAATGTCTTGCTAATTTAAATTCAGTCCGGTCACTGCCCTGTAACCCTTAATGCAGTCTTCATAAATACACACTGCAGACTGCCTGCTAAAATGTCCCCTTTTCTGGACTTACAGGTTAACCTGACAATTGGTTATCTATGGATCCAATGTGCTGTTACTAGAGAACCTACCAGTATTTCTTGTTTCCTCTTCCAGGTGACAGACATGATGCAGAAAGCCCTCTTTGACTTCATGAAGCACAGATTTGATGGCAGGTGAGACGGTCTTATTATTTAGGCATCTATACATTCTAGACTTGTGGATCTTGCTTCTGAGTGCTTGAACCAGACAGCTGTCTGTTCTTGCTGGTGCAAGAAAGGGTGTCATTTGTGATTTGGCTTTCATGAAAATTAATGCATAAACATTTATTCGATAAGTAAGATGATAACTATGGGTTACAGCCTATTTTACATTATTATAGCTTGCTTGCTGCATTCATTTATCAAATAACCAGATACTACATTATGTTTGCCCTGAGTCAAGAAGTTCTGTAGAAAATTATTCAGTATGCATGCCCACAACAGTTAGCCATGAGGCTTACAAGTGACATGAAGAGTTTATTACCAAGTTAGATATATTTTCGCACAGTCTCATCGTTCCCTCTGATCAGGCTGGATAATGCAGCCCCAGATTCTCATGTCCACTTTGTATTTTATGTACTTATCAATGTTATTACAGTTTTGGTAGTAGAAAGGATCGTTGATGGCATTCCTTAATGAACAATTATCATGAAATGTTTTGCAGTGATAGAAATGTTCCATTAAATTATCCAGTTACACATTTATAAAGCCTAGCCTAAGCTTGTTAGTGCTCAATGAGGCAGAAAAGTCAGCGGATTTACACCTAACATAATCCTGTATTCAACTGAATGACATATCACTGCTGATATATAATGCTGTCTACTTCTCATAAGGAATTGATAGAGACAGCAGAAAGCATGCAGCCTGACATTATTGAATGAATGTGACAAAGGAGCATTGTGACTCTGTCTCCCACACCTTCTGGTCAAGTGCATTCCCCTTCAAAGTGCTTAAAGAGGAACTAAGCGCTGTAACAGAATCACATCATTCTAAAAATATTATGTCCATCTGTGAAAATAAACTTACCAACATGGCGTACCATGCATCAAACTTCAGAACACACATGGAAATATTAATATTCTTGTTTTTCTAATTTCATAACTCCTCAGGGGTGTAGCTATTTTCTTCATCCTGGGCACAGAAACTTTTAAATCACCTTCTCCCTCATTACCATTTAGACTGACTGCATTACCGTTTAAATATTGTACTGTAATAATCTCCGTCAGTCATGAGCCATATGCACATTCTTTACAGGCATTTTTGCTTGACTTTTCTTTCTGTCACTTTGATATTGCACCCCCTGTCCCTTCAGTACCCTGAGCAGCTACCCTGCTGCACTCCCTTCTCAGCTTGGCATAATTGGGCAGGACAAAACTAGTAAATAATATCAGTATTTAGGGTGTATTAGAAACTTGGGCTGTGCATGTAAACTGCACTTTAAACCCTGAACCCTTGTTTGCCCATTTGGATTATAATTATTTGCTTGCTTAGTGGCCCAACTAAACAGTACTTGGCAATTAATAGGAACAATGGTAGTAAGTACCAATTGTGTAACATTCTAGTTTATTAATAAGTTAGTAAATGTGCCCCAGTTCACCTACTGTTTACAGTATAAATTACGGTGTATTTTATTTTTTCTGAGAGAGAATTTTAGATTACTGGTGCCTAATGTCTTTTTTTATTAAATTACATAGCATGGGATTATTCTTATTTTGCTGATGCATTGCTTTTGCTTGCTCAATATACCACTTACCTTGTAAGAGTGAACATTGAAGTAGGAGAAGCTATTGGCATTATACCAGTCAGTGCAGTTAATGACCCAATAACAGAAAGAGTAATAATTTGTATGTCAACAAGGGTACTAGGGTGGATTTCTTCATTGTGATGGGCATTATACTGGTGCCAGGAGGGCAGGCAGCTAAGTTGGGATGTGACTATTGCAGTAAAACAACATGGAGTATGCAAAAGTTAATTTGTTTATTGTTTAGTTAGATTTAGAAATGTCATACACTGTATTTTAAGAAAGGAATTTGTATCCATACATACCTGTATTTATCCTACTCCTGAAATATAATATAGAACCATAGGAGAACACAACAAAAAATAATAAAATCACAATATACAGTATATGTATATGTAAAGTTTAGGGGGTATTGCACCTCGGGATCATGTGCAACAGCCACTTATTTTAAACATAATTCTTTTTCTTTATAGCAAACAGAATATAACAACACAAAAACTTCAGAAAACACAACACAAAAAGTCTGCTTTTCTTTAGCACAAACTAAAATATCAGACGTTTAAAGTTTATATAAGGGCTTTACCCCACAGTTAGCAGCATCCAGCCTCAGACGTTTGCCAGTTTTCAGTCCACGTACAGCACAAAGCCAGGTCTCCTCTCAACTCCTACTTCACCCAATGGCACTAGGAGCTTCTTGCCTAATGTGCTGCTTAGCCCTGTAGGGACCGGAGTCCCCAAAGTCAGGAGTTGAGGTCCTTTTCCAATCCGAATGTCACTCTTGACCACCAAAATTCCGGGTCACAAATAAGCCACTACTAATGCCGAGAGGACTGTGAGTCAGTCCTCTCCTTTACCTGACTATCCCAGAATTCCTCACCCATCACAGATGATACCAAAAACATTTCCCTTAAAGGGACCACAACCCAAATATTGGTGCCACAAAGCACCCGTCCAGAACCCATTCTTGGCACCCTGTACAGTATTTATAGTCTAATACATTTGTGGTATATTCTTTTTTTTTTATAGGATCTCTATTACTCGGGTAACAGCTGACTTGTCTTTAGCCAAGCGCTCAGTACTTAATAACCCAGGACGGAGAGCCATCATTGAACGCTCAAGCACCCGCTCCAGCATTGGTGAGATCACAAAATAGAGAACGTTTTTCCTTCTGAAATGCTAAAATGTCTTCATACATCAAAAGTTAGGCTTATTAATTAAGGGGATGCAAAGAGCAATGTTGATGTGTTGAATTAAGTAACCTAAAGCACCCAATCAGGTACCAGCCCAATGAAGTCATGTCTGTTAAAATTACTTTAGCTTGGTTGTTTTAGGTTCATGTATATTGCCTTACTGAATAGCCCTGTATGGGGTGGCTATTGAAGATTTAGATGGATTGGCAGGAATGAACGAACCTCCTTCACGGAAAAGTGTCTGGAGAGCACTTCATGAACATGCATGTTTGGCTGAACATACAATCCTATCGTGTTGCGCTCCTTAAAAATTACATATGATCACTTATCCACGCCCAGAACATATGACCATATGAAGACAAGTGAAAAAAGCATACATTAAATCCTTTAACCAAAATTCATATATAATAATCACTTAATTTACTTAAAAAACAAATTAATTCTTACTATTAATATATATCCGTGATTAAAAAATAACTAAATCAATAATACATCATTTTTAGTGAGAAGAAAAAAATATAAATCTCAAATAAAATTATTTTAAATAAATATACATATATACTTAATTAATGTGTGAAAACAGTGTCCCATATAACATAAAAAATATATAGTGACTTTGTGCTTTAATTAATCTTCAATCCGTGATTGCATGTGAATCCGTGACTGTTTGTGAATCCTCCCATTAGTGCAGATGTAAGCTCACCTCCTTATCTGCCTACAATTAGGCTATATGCGCTTTTGGTTCTCCTCCTATGGAACCTGCTTGGTTAAGACTCTTTCCTTTTTAAATAGTGGATATCCTTTATCACTGATTTTTCCCCTCTGGGATTGATCCCTTCTCACGAGGACCCAAGTCCTCTATACTCTCCTCTCCATACGTCTCTCCACATATAGGAAAAAAATTCTAAACATAGTGTTTTATCCTTTTTAAAAGTATGGCTTTATTATCTCCAAGTAATGCACTCACATGTGTTGTATTCAATATAAGGCATATCAAATATAAACCAACACATGTGAGTGCATTACTTGGAGATAATAAAGCCATACTTTTAAAAAGGATAAAACACTATGTTTAGAATTTTTTTCCTATATGTGGAGAGACGTATGGAGAGGAGAGTATAGAGGACTTGGGTCCTCGTGAGAAGGGATCAATCCCAGAGGGGAAAAATCAGTGATAAAGGATATCCACTATTTAAAAAGGAAAGAGTCTTAACCAAGCAGGTTCCATAGGAGGAGAACCAAAAGCGCATATAGCCTAATTGTAGGCAGATAAGGAGGTGAGCTTACATCTGCACTAATGGGAGGATTCACAAACAGTCACGGATTCACATGCAATCACGGATTGAAGATTAATTAAAGCACAAAGTCACTACATATTTTTTATGTTATATGGGACACTGTTTTCACACATTAATTAAGTATATATGTATATTTATTTAAAATAATTTTATTTGAGATTATATTTTTTTCTTCTCACTAAAAATGATGTATTATTGATTTAGTTATTTTTTAATCACGGATATATATTAATAGTAAGAATTAATTTGTTTTTTAAGTAAATTAAGTGATTATTATATATGAATTTTGGTTAAAGGATTTAATGTATGCTTTTTTCACTTGTCTTCATATGGTCATATGTTCTGGGCGTGGATAAGTGATCATATGTAATTTTTAAGGAGCGCAACATGATAGGATTATATTAATTATACACAGTGGTAGTTATGTGTTAGGTGTCTGCGATCCTATTATATTAAGGACATATTTTGTCCAGTTTTGTGTATTAAGGTGGCTCTCTGATTTTGGCTCGCAAGATATCTTAACATTTTTATGGCTGAACATACAAGTTTATTGAGGAGGTGTGCTGGAACACTGGACAACAAGAGGAACAGTAGTGATCGGAACAATTTTTTGGATTCTAGTTATTATTCCCCACATAGAGTGGTGACGCAGCAATAGTCTGATTCTTATTAAGTAAAATGTTTACTAGAGGACTGATTTCTTTGATGGTCTAGATAGATCTATCTCTGTCGCAGGCAGCATTACAAACTAATATGAAGATGTGCTCCTCTTTGCTAAATTTACTGGATTTGATTGGAAGGCTGAACCCGATGATTTTTTTTACCCTTACTTGCCTGTCATTTTACTTCAGAACACGTGCAGTGGATAGGATTGTTTAGTTTTTTTTAATTTAGTAGTGCAAATGTCAATATGATCAAAGTTTCAGCCGCAACTTAAAGTTGGTGTATATATTTCTCTAAACCATAAAATTACAATAGGTATGTTCCATAATGGAAATATTCTCTTACACAGCGGAGGTACAAAGTGAAATTGAGAGGATATTTGAACTTGCCAAGACTCTCCAGCTAGTTATTCTAGATGCAGATACAATCAATCATCCTGCTCAACTGTCCAAAACATCCTTGGCACCCATCATCGTCTTTGTCAAAGTTTCTTCTCCTAAGGTAAGCAGAGGGGTAGCTGAAGTGGCTTCCTCAGGCAATGGTGCCTACCAGGCAAAATTATTGTGATTGCCATTGGGCACCTCATATGTACTTGGTAGATAGGTCAAAGTGTTATAGATTTTTTTCTTTATAATGCTAAAGACCTACAGAAAATGCATAGTCTATAGTGTACATGTAAACTAATTAAAATTTTCAATACATACTTATTTCCATGTATAGTTTGAAATGATACTGTACATAAGGGCAGTCAGATTTGCTACCCCTATGTTCATAACCTGTGTCTCATGGATAATCTACAACTTGCTGGATCTCATACATGCACATCTCTGACCTACTTATACTCACCCACCCACTTAACCACTGTTAAATTGGGTATTTAATGGTGCAACTGAGCAACAGCAGGCAGTAAGGATGAGCAAAATCGGGTCAGGTGATGGCTTTCAAAGAGTCTTGGAAGTACAATAAACCTATTTTCATGTAAAAGGAGACTTTAAGAAATACAGAGACTGCCATTACTATTCTCCTTCTCTAGTCTATTTACCTAAAAAAAAAAGTAAAACCGTACTTAAAAGTACAGTAGGCACAACAGAGTTGTTATACTTCTACTGTACAGCAGCTTACTTTCAGTTCTGCACATTTCAAATAGACAGCCAAAGAAATGTATACATTTTTCAGGGAGATGTGTGGGCATTTCTTCCAGGTGCTGCAGCGATTAATAAAATCCAGGGGGAAATCACAGGTCAAACACCTCAATGTCCAGATGTTGGCTGCTGAGAAATTGATACAGTGTCCTCCGGTAAGAAAGATGATGTAATGTATGTAATTTAGTAATATAAAAACTATTGTGTCATATAGTTAGTAAGCATGGAATAGTTTTTATTATTATACAGAATTTATACAGCACCAACAGCTTTACAAAATGGAGGGAGCTAGTACAGTTACAATACAACTCAATACAAGAGGACCCTGCTTGTTAGTGCTTACAGTCTATAAGGAAGTGATACAAAATGAGCTGATGGAGAAAGTAAAAGTACAGTTCATTAGAGGTGGGAAGAGATGCATTTTCATCATTCTCTATAGGAAAATGTGACATTCCAAAAAGTAAAAGTTATATACAGTATGTTCATAAAACATCTCACAGTTCTTCTTTGCCAGGGATAACTTGACATTTAAATTGGAAAGGTCATAATGATTTTAGTGTATTTTATAAGTGAGTAGGTTGGTTCAAACATTGCCCCATATAAGCATCATTTAAGCATCAATTTTATACTCATCCACACTGTATGGTCCCTAAAAAACTTGTCTTATTTCAGTAAATGGGAGCAAAAACTGCTAAAAACTACCTGCAGAGAACTGAAAGAGGATCAAGGACAAATGACCTTGATAAAAAAAAATATTTTATAATGCTTTGAAAGTTAGGATTAAAGAAGCAGGAAAATAAGAAAAGAACAGAAGTTAATCAGAAAAGAGGCACACACAGTTATTTGACTTTATGAATAGCTTTGTAGTGCTCGTGTGAAACTGGTGGAATGTAAGACTAATGAGAGTGCAGTAGAATGAGACGTGAAATAGAAAGGTTGTGTCAAGTCTTGCTTTTAGCACGAAGGGCAGCATTTACCATGTATTTACCATCTCCTTTTAAATCGAAATTAAACTCTCCATTTTTAGTTTTCCCCATTAAAATCTTTAGTAAACAATATACAAATGTAGAATTATTCTAACCTTCGCCGTTTTGTTGTAATCTGCCATTGTTTCCATTAGTGACGTCAATGGTGCATGCACATATTTGCCCCCACTCACGGCATGCTCATTGTGCCATCATTCCATTCATGAACACGCTGTCTCCAACATCGCCACTCTCTGGCTTTGCACTGCAATCCCATCAGAGTAAAGGCCCATTTCCAATTTTCTATATCTAATAAGTAGTGTGCATGCGTGAGATTACAGCTATGAATGATAGAAAGGACGGAAGCAAACTGCAGTTGGGACTTGGAAGACAACAACTAACATGGCATTGGCTTCAGGAAGCAAGAATATAGAAACAAGCAGGAAAACAAGAAAAAACATCTGAAGAGGGGAAGTAATAATGTGGAATGCTGCACAAAGCTTTGTGATACTGGCTTTACCAATACTTAATATTTGGGTGGCTGAGGTTACAACCGCTTTATACGCTTTATAGTAGAATTCCAGGATAACCTTAACTTCTGTTAAAACTGTCCCCTCCTCCCACCTCCTAACACCTATGGTTACTAACCTGTGTAAGAAAGATGTACAGTATATACTTACCTATTTTCAGGCCACTCCAGTCCAGTCACGTTATCAGCCCTGTGTCAGCTATTGACATCTGCACGGAGAGAGGAGAGGCACTCAAGAATGGCTAGTAAAGCCTGGAGCTTTGACATCACCTATAGGCTTCAATGGCCCATCCAAGTGGAATCAGTGGAGGGTAGTAGATAATATATATTTTTATACTGTATTTGGGTTGTAAATGGAAATGAGGACAGACATCTTCCAAACTCATTTCTATTCGGACTTCCACTTCGTGCTACATTCATGTCCAAATAGCTGTGGGCCAGTCATTCCCTGCTACATGGAAGCAAAAGGAATGGATGCTGGTGACATCAGTGCCCTTATACGGATGCATGCCCATATCTAGTGAATGACATTCACAAACTATGTGTCCATATAACGGCACTGACTTCACCAGCATCCTGCTCTTTTATGTAAGTGTGATGCGCAGAGTGGGAATGACCCAACCAACAGCTATCTGAACTAAAAAAATAGCGCCAAGTGGAGGTTTGAATAAAGATGACTTTGGAGGATGTTCAAGCTCATCTCTAATTATAAACTGGAAGCGAGACAGGCTGAGTTAAATACAAAGCTACATCTAGTGGCCAGGAAAACGTACAATGCAAAATCAAAAATACACTTGAGTATTCCTTTTCAAAAATGTGAAAGTAATATGAAAAATGTAAGATATACATTCCCTTTAATATATCACATTATTAAAATTCCTCATTATTCTGTTTTTAGGAAATGTTTGATGTCATATTGGATGAGAATCAGTTGGAAGATGCCTGTGAACACCTTGCAGAATATATGGAGGTGTACTGGAGAGCCACACATCACCCCTCGCACCAACAGACTAGCCAGAACCTAATGACACCACCCACTGCCATCCCCGGTTTACAGGTACCGCCAACTATTATTATCATGGCATTCCCCAGATCTGTTAATAATAACATAGAAAATAGGAAAGAGAAACAGGATGAGGACCCTAACTGATAACATTGAACCTGGGTGTAATTAAAAGAACTTGGAGAAAGAGAGGCCACACAGTTACATGAAAGGCAACAAACAACTAGGGGATACAGAGTTGTGGTTGTGGGAATGTTTAAGCCAGCTTGCAGAGTTTGACAGGCGGCACCCATTAAGGGCAATGGAAGCACTCTACATTCGGGAAACAAAATGCAGTTGTGTATTTTAATACAAATCCCCTTGAAATAAAAAACAAAAGGCATTCAGGAGGAGGCATGAGTGCCTCCTAAACACCTGGCAGCCACTGCTCTACTGCATTCTGCAAAACACAGACCACTTTTTAGAGGGTGGTGGACACTGCTGCCCGCCTGAAAGAGCCCTTCAAGAATATGAATAGAGTTTTCATGCTGATAAATAGAGATAAGCAAGTAGTAGAAAATGGTTTACTTAGTGAACCATCCCAATCTGCTGTGAGTTCTGATGCATGCAAAGTGGTTCATTTATCTGTGCTGGTAAATTATGTCAGTCTGTTTTATTATTCCTCAGGGCCCATTTACATAGTTTGTGTTGGGCTGTGCCAGCCTGCTGTGCCCAGTGTAGTCCTCATGCAAAGTCAAGGCAATTTACCTTGTTTGCTAGGAAGTCAGTTCACACCACTGCGTTGTAATGGTGTGCTTTGAGAGAAAAAGCACTGCATGCTTTGTCTCAGCGCAGCATGCTGTGTCATAAACCACCTCACCGCACACTGCTGCAAGTGAATAGATCAGAATGAAATGTCACGTGTGACATTTCAATACGTTTCTCAAAGAAAAAGAACAGTGATTCACAGGGATTGCTCTGGACTGCTCTTCATTATCTTACTTTGTTAGCAGAATGAAGATTAAAAAAACAATGTGTATCTTTTGAAAATAGAAAAAAAAGAAAAAAATTAAGAAAAGAAAATGGGAAATGAAAAAAAGTAAATACTGTATGTCTTTTCAAAGCTGTATACTAATCTACATTTTTTTATAAAGTTATAATTTTGGAGGAAAATTTACTAAAAGAAATATGAAGGCTGAGGCTGCTTCTGAAAATGCTAGTTGCCTGACCATTGATGGTTTCACATCTGCCATATATATTTTTGCCAGATCTGTGACTCAGAATGTAGATAAGCCATTAAAACAGTATGAAAGCCAGGAAACTTGCATTTTCTAAAAGAGGTCAGCAGTGGTAACATTTTTTTCAGACCAGATTTCCTTTATTAGAAATGAAAATTTGTTAGAACCATTCACATTTAAAAAATGCACAATGAGTTAGGTATATTCCAAAGGAAAAGCCACTCAATGATAATGTCTACATAGGTGGTCCTTGGGGAGGGACCATGTTCTGAAAAATTGTCATCTAATTAAAGTTTTGCCTGTGAAGAAGTCATTGGTGTGAAGTTTTAAGCTTTGTGCATACGGGTGATTTACAATTACACAAATATGTGGGTGAACTAAACTGTCAAATAAGCTTTCATAATTAAAGCTGGAGGGTAATGTATTTATATGAAAGCTTCCACTTGACGTACTTTGACTGAATCCAATCAAATGCATCCACTGTTTGGATACTTTGACAGCCCTTGGGGAAAGCTATGAAAATACAATAACCAGAGTGGGAGAGTCATCCATCCATAGTCTATACTCCCATACTCCCTTTCAATGCAGGAGAGGAGTTGCTACATGTTCTCCTGCAATCCAAGCACTGGAAGTATGATCTCTAGACCTGATCCAATTGTGGTGAGATAGCTTTAACTTACAGTGCCAGTAGCTTGGCAGAATGTGACTTGATCCATGTCCTCTTGCAGATCATAGAAAGCTTTAACAAGACTCTTTATAGTTCAGGGAACATGAAACGATCTCTCATTTTGTCTACTGATCAGTAAAACTGAAAAGTAGCTCTGTGTACAAAGTAGACTACATGCTACCCCCAGTACCACAATCTGTCATTAAAATACTCACATAACACAAGGAGCAGAGCTTGTACAAAAGGACAGCATCATTCAAGGCAACATAATGTATAACTATAGACCTGGCCATACAGACACAAAACTCGCAAAATTACTATCTCTCTGAGTAGGATGTGTGGACTTTAACATTTGTAAGGCTTTTGTGAAAAGTCATGTGTATAGACACTATTTCTCTTTCTGCTCCTAGAACCAGCAAGTCCTTTCGGATAGAGCCAGTGAGCACTCTCCCCTAGAACGAGACAGCCTAATGCAGTCAGATGAGGCTAGCGAAACCTCTCGTAAAACCTGGACGGCCTCTTCCCAGAGGAGCTCCCACCACATGGAGGAGGAATACTCTGATGCCTACCAGGACCTGTACCAGCCTCACCGGCACCACAACAGTGGACTGCACAATACCAATGGCCATGACTCTCAGGATCGCCTTTTGGAACGTGACTCTGAGCAGAATCACAATGATAGGAACTGGCAACGCAACCGGCCCTGGCCTAAGGACAGCTATTGAGAGGAATCCCTCTCCACACACCCATCCAACACACATACACACACTTCTCCTGCATGGCAGTGCATGCCATGAGGCACAGCCACCAAGTGTAAATTTCTGGGTAGCAGCAAGAGGCAAGAATGCAGTGTGGGAGAAAAGCAGCCTTATCCTGACCGGCCTGCAAAAATACTAAAGGCAGAAGGGCTGTTTATGAGTAGCTGAGTCAGAAAGCAGAGCCAAGATACAACAAATGTTCTTGTGGTTTACATGTAGAGGCAGTGTAATGCTGAAAACAGGTAACAATCCTAAAAAAATCACTATCACTGGCAAATCCTTCAGCTCTCATGGTATTATGACAACAGTTACACTACAGATACTGAGAGTTTTTTTACTAGACTTTCCATGCAATAGTGCTGGGAATCCAGCTCCGACTGCCAAGGTACAAACACTGGGGTGTCATTATCTCCCTTGTCTCTATGAGCTGGCAGTGTGATCACCCCAGGATAGGGTTACAGCTATCCATCTTATATTGTAATGCAACAAACTAAAGTATATACACTTTGTGTGGAACAGGGAAGTAAAAGCATGATTCAGCATAGAATACATTTAAAGTGACATTGTCCATTTTGCACCCACTTGGGACATTGAGGGCCGTCCAAGGTGGCACATTTGAGGAGTATTCAATGCAAGCATCTTATATGCAGGAATCCTAAAAGACAATCCGGACATACTGAATGAGTTAAGATGGCATTACATGAACAGGATTGAATCCTGTGCTCTCAGGACTTATTAGTGAAGGGAACTGACAAGAGATACAAAGGCTTTGTACACATGGGCATCAGCTTGTATAAGAGCACACATCACTCTTTACAAATCTGACAGTAATCTTTAAAATACTTTATTCAAGTTTTTAAAGAATCCTTCAGCTGTAATTTGGAGACATTAGAATAGATCAGAGCAGAGGTGGACTGACCATTTGGAAACTCGGGCACTGCCCGAGGGCCCAGGGTAAGTAGGGGGCCCCATGAGATGCCCCTGGTACCTTTTTCATAGGCTTTTTTGAGTTTGGGCAAGGACACAGGGGCTCCATGATCCCCTATTGCCCGGGGCCCCATGAGTTGTCAGTGCGCCCCTGGATCAGAGTGTTAGTGTTGGCCGCTGCTTGCAGGCTTTCAGCAAGTTTCAAAGATTGCTGCAGTTTTCTGAATGCTTGTGTGTTTACAGTGACAATCAACACCCCATTATGAATAGTATTTAACATCCTAAAAGTGCAGATGATGGGTGCTTTAAAGGCTTTGGGAAAACTGCTTTAAGCATGCTGAAACCCTTGCAATTGCCTTGTAACAGATTGCTGAACGCACTTCTCTTATGTAATCTGAAGCCTGTGTGTACAAGGCCGAAGATGCAAGCAGGGTAAGAAGTAAGAGTTCATAAAGCTATTGCCTTCTGAGGGGTTCAGTGGTAGGGCTGCCAAACAGCAATCTTTCTATGAATGTTCTTACATAGTCCACAACTGTGTTGCAAACATTGTGAATATTTGCATGCTGTATAGGTTAGGTGCCAGCAGTAAGTGTTCAAGTACTATGGCTGCCTAGCCTTAACGATTTGTGGATTACTGTGGCAACCTCACATAAATGAGGTACAACTGTACACGTACCTTCCACCTCCCAATATATGTAAATAGAAAAGCAGGACATGTATAAACTGCTACAATATGCCCAAACCCCACCTAAATCCATTCCACCACATCAATTTCTAAATAGTTCCATCTATTTGGGTCCTATGCTTGTGAATGCCTAACAAGTCTGGGCAGTCAAAATAATAAGTTGGAAAGTTGACCTTTCCAGTCCAGTCACCATTTACTGCAGCAAATTCAGAGACCTTAGAAAAAATGTACTACTATGGGAAATTAGTAGTTCTCAGGTACCCTAATATCTGGCCAAAAGTCTTGCTGTGATCCACTTTCGGGGCCTAGAGACAGTTTCAGCACATCTTCAACAATTGTGGTCTTCATTTTAGTCTGTGGGATGACAAAATGAAGTTGTCCACAGATCCTGGAAGTTGGCTACAGCCAATGGATTAGGAGCCATACAGGTGAGTGATATTTTGATGATCTGCTCACCACCCATCATTAGAATATATAGCTAACCTCGAGGTCTTCTTTAAAGCAGGAGATAGACTTCTTACCAGCTGCTGGCTTGAACACATTCAAGCTAATGTTTTTATTAGTATCCCAACATGGATTCATCGATCCAATCTTCTATTTTCTACAAAGCGCATATTTCACATACAGAACAATCATCTTCCCAAGGAGCCTTTGTAAACATAACTTACTGTTCTGATTCTGGAGTCCTAATTATAATCTTAAAAAGCTAATGAAGCATTTCACCATATGTATGGAGCTTTGTGCTAGTATAGTTTCTCATGTAAAGCCTACAGCACTTTAAATGCAGCAAACCTTTGTTTATTTTATTGCAGCATGTTGTGTAAATCTACTATTATTTTTTTATAGTGTTTGCATGTGAAAACACACAACTTTAGGCAGACTTGACATAAATGACAGGTGACCCATTCTGTGACATTAAACAGCATGTTGTGAATGAAGCTGGATCTATCTAGGCATAAAGGGAAGAGACTCAGAAAATTTACTAAGCATGTGCATTAGGACTCCTTTTTAAAGTGTAAACCAAGGAAAATCCACTGGGGCTGCCACAAATAATGCCAAAGCAATCTGATTATTTCTTTCCCTATACTGTGTGATTCACAGCTACCCCTAAATGATAACTAAACCCAAGAACAGAAATGTAATATATTGCATCTTACCAGTTTATATGTGTCAGTTGCAAGTTTTCATTTTTCAGGTTAAGAATATTTTAAGCACATACAGAGGATCCCTGTTGATCTTGCCAGAAAGGCAGTGTACTTGTTTTTTCCTGTGAGATAACCAGGAGGCATCAAACAATGTTATTGTAGTTGCATAAACTACTAACCTCTTCATCCCCCATGTAATGAAGATAAACACAGGCAGGCGTGTTTATAGTCCACCCATGGACAGGTTAATTTCATGGGATCACCAGGTGAAAATCCTGAAAAAAAAATACATATGCAGCAGCCACATCTAAGGGCTTTTTAGGCACAATGGGGAATATTTACTAAAACTAGAGAGCGCAAAATCTGGTGTAACTCTGTATAGAAAACTTTCAACTTCCAGATTTTATTGCCAAAGCTTAATTGAACAAGCTGGAGTTAGAAGACTACCATACACAGCTGCACCAGATTCTGAGTGCACCAGTTTTAGTAAATCTACTGCAATATATTACATATTTATTTTTGGGTTAAGATATTCTTTAAGGCTAAACTCACAAGGGTGGTGGAGGCAAAATAGCTTTTAGTGCTGTGTTGTTTTAACCTCTTTTCAGTCATTCAAGTGTTGGTGGCACATGGTGGCCAACAAATGTTTCTGTGTCTGTCCTGGTGGCTGCTGGGTGCTTGACACTGAAAACGTGCTAGAGGTCCACTTTTAGCAACCATGTGAACTGAGCCTGAAGCATTTCAACAAACCAAATACCTCTATTTTTATTTGAATACTTACGGTACTGTGTATGAGTTGAGCAAAGCCTGATTATTGCAAATTAGTTTTGTATCTCAAGAAGAGCCAAAAAAACCCCAGTAAAACTGGGTTGTATATGCCACATACACAGTAATGTGTGGTACATTCTCCGACCTAGAACTCTGTCATACAGATCTTATTATTTAAATTGATTCCCAATTGACCTTTGATACGTTTCATAGCAAAACCTTAAGATCACTGTAAGATTTGGACAGAGGTCATTTGGAAAAATTGTAGCCATGAAATAGCAGCTAAGTAAACATGCAAACTTGTATGTGGTATGGAATAGTAGGGATGGGCAGCACTGAATGGAAGTTTCTAACACAGGAAAATGGCTCTCCATCTATTTGGTGATTTTTTACTTCAAACCATTTCCAGATATCTTTCAAATACTTTGAAGTTGCATGTGTCAGACATCAAAAGATAATGTGTGCAACAAGTGATTTCAGGATAATGGGAGAAGATTCGTAAATACCTTACACAGAGCCAACAATCAGACATTTGGTCATTGCTTCTTAGTATAAACTGAACATTACAAACGTGGTAAAATATCACAACCAGAATCATCTTTAGAGCTCAGATATGGCATATTCAACTCAGTAAATCCATATGGATACTACTCCATGTAATAGTGCATCCAATCTAAAGACTAGATCCCAGATGACCATATGTCATGTCATTATAGGAAGCCATAATCCTTAATAAATACAGTCATATGGAGATCTAATAGACCCTGTTTTTGCTGCTGTTCTCTAAAAATATAAAGAAATATAATCTATATCAAACAATGCAACCTTAGTGTATAATATATGATTATTAGAAGTCACTAATGAAACCAAGACATTAACTGTATATGACCAAGTACCTTTATCTTCTACATACTTTATATTTTACTGCCATATCTACCTACATTCGTGTACCAAATACCAGAGTAATTTATGTCAAGGTTTGACTGGCCATGCTGTCCTGATTTGCACACATTGGACCTTAATTGGGCTTGCTAATAATGCCAAGCTGCTAGATTGTCTTTTGGTCTCAGTATATGGGGAAAGCTGGGGTTAGGCCATTTTTTTTGTAAAGCACAGTGTTCTTGAAAAGTATAAGCAAATACTTTTTCAGCTGGTGTAGAAAACGTTCAAGAACCATCTAATACAAACCCATAAAAATTCCTGTCCTCTTGCATTATTTCTGTGGACACTGGATATCAATCTTTTTGCTTTCACATAACACATAAAGTAGGTGGTTTGTTTTCTAGCTGGTCACCCCTTATGCCACTGTATGGAAATTAATATGAAAGTAAAAGGATATTAAAGCAAACCTGTGTTGACTAAGCCTAGCTAATACAAATCAGAAAGTTAGATAAAAGTTCAGCAGAGTATTTTGTACTTTATGGAAAGAGTCATAATGGATG